GTATGGCAAGCGAAGTATTTCGTTGTATGCTATTGTGTCATTATATATCAGGAAACCCTAGATCAACTCCGAGAATGCAGTGTACAGACCAAGCAAAACGGACATGAAACCTATTTTTCCTTGAGATAATCCTTACACTTTACTTGTACAATGTTTTGTTTCCCGCCATCCTCAACGACCAACGCTGTCAGCTTGCCTCCCTTCACACACCCAGTGTCTAGACCCTTGGTGAAAGTGCGGACAGAAAGGGAAGAAGAAGCATCATGGCCGTAGACGACAGTCATGGTGCCCGAGAGAGGGTCTTCAGCTGAGGACTCGAGATTCGAGTATAACAAAGATTGATGCTTATCAAACATCTAGAACATGTCAGACAGAGCCCCTAAGGAATAAAGTAGAAGAGAAACATACCTTCGCCCAGTTCATGCCTTTCTTCTTCGGGCTTGGCACATGCGTATTCAAATCAATGGTCCGCATGGTCATCACACTAGATGGATCTTGTTTCTCAAGCTCGACGCCCGGTACCAATCCCGCATGGACGACAACAACCTGTCCAATACCTGGCACGGGGCCAACGTCCAAAATAACTGGACAGCTACTCAGCCATTTGGCTTGCTCGTCACTCAACGAACGTGCAAGTGCACGCTCCCGGACCTCCCGAGATGATAGATATGACTCTTCACCGTCCTCGGGGGTTGCAAGAGTGTTGGTCTTCACGAGCTCCCGTCGAACAAGCAAGATCCGATCCTCGTGGTTTCCGCGCACACAAGAGGCCGAGTACCCGCGAACTAAGTCTACAACTCCTGTACTATCCGGTCCCTTGTTGATGAGGTCACCAGTGAGTATGAGATGATCGCCACTGTTGGGTTTGAAAGAAACTTTTTCAAGGAGTTCTTCCACTATTGAGCCAGTCAGTATTGGGGGGCATGCACCAAGACCGATATATGACCTACACTCCGCTTTGCAGCCATGTACATCGCCCACAAAAATTAACCGTTTCCGACTTGACGAGTCTGCCTCTACTTCAGCTGAGCCCGAAGGCACGAGCTCCGGATCTAATGTGCGAATGTGAACTATGTCGTCGAACTGAGGCATGACATTCGTCCCGAACCACCCACCCGCCTCAGTCTTCGTGCTCGGATCAAGTGAATGCAGTAATAAACTTCGCTCTTGGAGTCGTGGATAAAGCAGCATGCGCCAGCTAACCCAGCCCACCAAGAACAAGCCAAGGCATATAAGCACGTAGCGCCGGAACCGTGGCGCAGAAACCACTGAGCGGCTCATTTCAATCCATCGCGGGGGTTTCGTATCGTCCAATGATCTGGAGGCGGCGTTGTAGCTGCCGCCAGGTCGCGATTGCCGTGCGTTTCTAGCAGAGTGTATGAGGGGACGGGATTGGGACCGGTGAGCGGCGTAGAAGGGAGGACTCTCGGATAATTCAAAGTCGTCATCTGCGTCGGACTGGACGCCCATTGCATCGGGGTCGCGGGGCACCATTTTGTCGGGAATTGGGTCCTGTTGAGTAGACTATGATGTGAGAAGGGGTAGTCCGTCTACCTCGGGAGGTAAATGTCCTATCTCATGGTTGTGTGAGAGTGGGAGCGAAGATGATATTTTTAGGCAGAAAGGTATCCCTTTCCGGTCTGACGTCTACCCCAGACCCACTCGGGAGATCATTGCGTACGCATACGCATACACGTGCTCATACAGTACTCATATTCATTACATTCATTGCCTATTTAATTTGGCTATTTTATCCCCGGTACTGCTCGTACTCTTCCGCTTCCTTTTTCCGGAGGTTCACGCGCTGGAGGACAGTCGTATCGTAGACTTCTTCCACTGGCTTGCCACCCTTGAGCACCTCCTTCTCGTGGTGAGAAGCCTCTTCCTTGGTCATGCAGACCAATTCATTGATGTTGATCGGGATGAGCTTCTGGCCCTCATGTTCCAGGCTCAAATCCATCTTCCATCCATGGGTAGGATTCTGCCAGGGAATGAGAACCAGCCTGTTCGGCAAGCCGCTGACTGCACTCTTTCCCCGATAGACTTCCTCTACAAGGAATGCAATGTCATCCTTGCTGATAGGAGTGCGAAGCCCGATTGTGTCGCCGCCGGTGACATGCTTGATCATTCGCTCGTGCAAGGCTAGCATAGCGGCCAGAATGCCATCGTAGAGCTTCTCACGGCCCTTGGCGCCCATGTTGTAGTCGAGCGGGTATCCAGTAATGCTGCAGATAACGTGGTTGGCTACCGTGTACCCGAAGACAGCAGGCATGGTTCCCAGAACAGGGAGAATGCGAACTCGGAAGTCGGGAAGGACTCCGAGTTCACCCACTTGACCCTTCTTGTATTCCTCCTCGGGAAGAGGAAGTAGGCTTGCTTTACCAGGACCTGGCTTCTCTGTCGAAAACACAGCTGCAACACCTGAAGTAACGCCCAAGGCCTTCAGCTTACGCCGTGTACTGCGAGACAGAGGGTCATCAGTACTGAGCGAGATGTCGCCGACCACAACGCGAGTTGGGTCTGACTTGCATCCGGCGCCCATGGATGAAATCACGGGTAGGGAATTCGAGTGGCAGTAGTGTAGCAAGTCCACCTTGGACGTAATGTTATCAATGCAATCCAACACAAAGTCCGGACGGCGTCCCTCCCCGTCCTTTGTCAGAGTCCAAGGACTGATAAGGTCGTCAGCTGCCGACTTTCCAAACAGTTCGTTCCTGCAATCGAATGTGACCCATGGTGCGATTTGCTCCAATCGTCTCCGAATACAGTGAACCTTGGATGTTCCAACATCGGCCAATGTCGCAAGGGCGTGTCGGTTCAGCGAAGATAGTGTGACTTGGTCGAAATCGATAAGTCGGATCTTAGATACGCCCGATCGAGCGAGCGAGGCAGCGGCATGGGAGCCGACACCACCACATCCAACCACGACAACAAACGAAGAGCGAAGCTTGGCAAGACCTTCGTCACCGAGGAACACGCGGTTGCGGGCAAGTTGTTCAAGGATCAAGTCTGGGTAAAGACAGGTCTTGTTAGATAGGTTCGCGGAAGATGGCGAGGACATAAGGGCACATACCATCATCATAGTCTCCCTGTTGTGCCCTGCGAGCCAAAGCTGCACTGCGCTCATCTTCCTTGCTCAATGGGATTTCGGATGCAGCGGCACCGAAGTCGGTAAGCTGTGGTAGTGCGAATTAGCTTTCATGGTTTTGTCGATTTGTAGCTTGCCGGGCATTCGGCAAAGCTTGACGAGAGCAGTTTACCTTTTCAGCGGGATGAAGATCATCAATATTTGGGATCGAAGCTTTCAAGTCATGAACAGCCTCCTTCCGCTTGTATGACTGGTATCCAAAGATAGCACCTGCGACAGCTGCACCGGACAAAACAGCGGTAGTCGCAAGCTGGCCGTGCGACGAACCAGCCTGACGCTGGAGCCAAGAAGACATATTTCCCAGCACTCCCTTCTCGTCTGTATCCTGGGGTTCTCGTTCTTTCAATTCGGTCTGGTTTCGGGGGTCCGCGTTGCGATCAGGCCCGTATCTATTATCAGGTTCGTCAGAATCGAATCCGTAGTCGAGGTCGGCATCGCTAGGTGTTTCCCACCACGTGGAAGCTAGGGGAGCCATGGTGTATAAGGGGAGATGGTACGTACCATCACAAGTAGCCGATCAGTGCAGGCAATGGCCTTATATAACGGAATGTCAATCTGCAGATGCGATCATCACTGGAACCACGATTGCTATCACGTGCGTTCTGCGGACTTTAGCCGAGACTCCGACCTGGAAACTCCAACACATCTCGCGTCGGTTCCAACGCGCCATCCTGCTCATGCATCTTCTCATGCGATAATGTGTCGCTGTTGGTCCACCTGTTGGAGATGCTGGTTCAAATATCGCGCCAAAGGTCCAGCCTGCGAGGAAGTTCCAGAATCAGGCCGCGCGACATTGAATTTGTTTACTCTGCGTTTGGTCACACCAACATCTACTCACTATCGCATGTCAAGATGCGTGACCTTCGACCAACCCATGTCTGATATGCTTGCGCAGCAGCTCATCACATCACAACAGGTACGTTACCCATTGAGGGGTTTGCTTGTACCATCATTTATGCTTCCAGAGCACCCCATTGCTAGTCGTGATGAAGATACCAAATTCACATATGAGCTTTTCATGACATGGCGCTTGGTGGACTTCATCCCCAGTACATCTGAGTGGAAGAAGACATCGGTCTTATGGGTGATTGAGAATGAACAGAGATCTGAGCGACTGTCATTTGAACCATTATTCTATCTGTGCTCTTCGTGCTGTGGCCATCTTTGAATCAGATATACTGACATTGACTTTGGCTTCTAGATTCAAGCAACTTCCACTTATGTTAGGCGAATGTGTTCTCTCTTTCTCAATGCACCAAGCATGACCCGATGAAGACAGATTCGTCATATACTCTGAGGCCATGTATATGTGCTCTGTCTGTATACCTTACAAAGGAAACGACGAGTACGCCAGTGAAGAGTGACAAAAAGGTAGTTTTCAATCTGAGGGTCTGCTAAGCATTTGGAAATTAGTGGTTGGATATTACTACAAATTCGTCCTTTGTTCATGATCAATGTTGTTCATTCAATGCGTCTCCCTTGATATGACATTCTTGGACCGCTCATGTATTACTATCTTTTATTGATCGAGTTTGATACTCTATCGAATAATACCTGTCTTGACCTCATACTCCTGTCTAGGGAAGTCGTAGATAGGTAAGAATAAGTTGGTGTGTGTGTTTGTATGGTTTATACACTTAGTGAGAGTAGATAGTAGTGGTTAGGGAGGCGTATACAGAGCAACGTAAATATAATAGCTCTTATTGTTGTTATTTTCTTCCCTTCTTTCGCCTTCTAATATCCTTAAAAGTACGTGAAACCCTTATCCCCTACTGTCCCTATGGCCTAAAGCATTATTCCTAATACTCTACGAGCTTCATAGAGATGATCCTAGACACGCCTGATCTTCAAAATGACGATTTTCGGTGACCTAGAGGTGCTAGTTGCATCTCGAGCCTTGGCCATGTTGTTTTCGTCTTTGCTATTCTGGCTGAGGCCTCGCTTGGGGCTTCTCATCGAGATCTTATGCCTTTGTTGACATTGCCTGAGGCCTCGCTGGGGCTCTGCATTGATGCCAACATCGCAGTCTCCTCTACTTCTCCCGGGTTCTGTCCGCGAAAATCTTGACTTGGGAATTCCACTGACCATTGGTGATTCGGAGATTATATCTGCTCTGGACAGAGTCGGGCTCTGGAATCAATTTCGCGAACATGATAGCCTGAACGCGGACATTCATTCCACTCAGCTGTCCGATGGCCAAAAGCAAATCTTCTATATTGCGCGTGCCATTCTATCTCCTGGCAGAATCGTTATCATGGATGAACCTACCGGTGGATTTGATGGACACACGGAAAAACTGGCCTCAGAACTTCTCGATGAGCGGTTGAAGGGGCGGACTATTATCTCAATTGCTCATCAGGTTGAGACTGTCATGGACTCGGATTTGGTCATGGTTATGGATCATGGCACGGTATCTGAGATGGGACCACCAGGAGAACTTTTGAGTAGGAAAGGAATGTTTTCGCAGTTGTACTTGGCGAGGACAACATAGAAGACTCGAACCCGGCTTGACGGATGAGGAACTTCTAGGTTCTAATGACTCATTTACTCTACTGTTGATGGCCATAAGCCGCGGACATAATTCTCTATCCAAAATAGTCCTAAAGCCCCAGACTTAGGCTAGAATTTCATTGTAGAAAGACCCGATCAAATCTTAAATTTTACTGATTCTATTTATTGATACACGCATAGGCCATAATACCTTTCACTCTCCACCTTTCTATCATCTACATTATTAACCCACTATTCTTAAAGAACTACAATTGAAGGCAGTCCAAAATGAGCAAAAAAGAGCCAAAAAAAAAAGGATGTCAAAGTATGATGAAAACAATGCACGAAACGTATACTCGCTTCGAGGCTTTCCTGTAGACTGTCTGATATTTCATCAGTGGTTCTGTATGCACATTTATGACCCCTGTTGTATGTTTATGCTACTAGTAGACTCGTACTAATCTAAGCCACAGCACTACCAACTGTTCAGCGATTCCACCTAAGCACCTTATACCAAGACTTCTTTCAATATTGTCTATCTAGACAATTCACTCAACGATCGACATAGCAACCGCAAAGCAAGCCCACGCAGCAAAATCAACCGTCCAGGTACGCACACGATGAATAGTCAACCACCCCTCAAGATCCTCCGTCGACCGGCCCTTAGATGAATCCTCAACCATAGCTTGGATCTTAGGCGCAACAGCTGGCACAAAGAGAAGATGACTAGCGGCTAACAGCGTACCTGCCGTATACCAAGGCAAGGACGCCGAGCTCCCAGATACCGACCGTCGGGTCAAGATATTGTATCCGCCTCCTGTCAGGGTCAGGGCGAGAAGGCCAAGTACGCGCACGGTACCAGGGACGAAGAAGACCCCGAAATAGGATGGCAGAGTTTCATTGCTGCGGGTGCGGTGGCTGGGGTGGAGGAAGATGTTTAGGAAGAATTCCTGGTCGAGCGAGTACCACAAAGTGCAAGTTGAAGTTATGAGTGGGGCGGTGCGCAGGAGCGCGTGGGGATCAAAGATGAGTCCAGAGGCCATGTTTAGGAGAGGGATGATGAGGGAAATGTCAAAGAAGAAGAGAGAGAAAGGGGATAAGCCAAGTATTATAGGATGTCATACGGTTCGTAGTAGTGCCACTTTTGGGGGCCTTTTCACCTGCAGGGATAGATGTATTTGTGCTGTTAAAAGTGTAGTAAGCTGCTGCCTGGGGATGTTTGGCTATTATATAGTTATCTCTAATACCTCATAATAGACGTGTATTTACAATTGGAGTCGCATATTACCGCTATAATTATCACCTACATCAGGGTTGAAGTACTGCCGCTTGGCCCCCAAATACGACGAACACTAGTCCCCATCTCTGTTCGCCAAACCTACTCGCAACACCCGAGCATCGAGAGATAAATGATGCCCCGAAAACTACGATCGGGCCGCAAGGAGCTCCCTGCGTCTAAGGTGGATGGGCTCAGCCTCCAGGATGAGATGCATGAACCGGTCCGTTTCATCGCGTCCGCATCGACCCCTGCCGAGCCGGCCATCGTCCGAAGCCTGTCACGTCTCCCAGGGCTGAACGAGAGCGAACTGCGAATTCTGCGTAAAAAGCAGAATCGACTGCGGCAATCGGATTTTCTGACCACAGAAGCTACCTTGGACGTGAGCCGCCATGCAACACGAGCACTGATATCGACGCTGATCTTTGCTCAGCACGAAGCTGGCACCGCCGTATGTATCGACTCGCGCGGCTGGATTTTGACCTGTGCGCACTGTTTTGGCGAGACGCCTGAAGAGTGGAAAGCCGAGCGCCTGAAATGGCTTCTCTATTACAATGGACTCGCCGTTCAGGTCGAATGTCGGGCGTGGGATGAGCGCCGTGATCTGGCTTTGGCTAAAATCGTTCGTATCGAAATCTTCGATGAACGGTGTAGAGGCTCGGTAACCCCTATTTTTGCCTGTGTCCCTATCGCTGAATCAATGTCTACCTCCTCTCCAATATTCTGTATCGGGCAACCGGGGGCAGACGACCTAGAGTCGGTCTCTCCGCGCAAGAAGACTGCCTACGATTTGGTCGAACTCTCTCAGGGTCGACTATGTGGCATGGTAGCCGGTGCAGACCCACAGGACAACTCAGATATCGGCGCTCTGAAACATAACGCCTGGACCTACTGGGGCCATTCAGGCGCACCGCTCCTACGGAGATCGGACGGTGCCTTGCTGGGCCTACATTCCTCGTGGGATGATGCCACGGCGATGCGTCATGGAGTGCCCCTGATTGCTATCAGGGCATTTCTCAAAGAACATCTCCCAACTGAGCCAGTCGATCTCACGGTGTCCGAGGCTCGCGAGGACGTACGGGGAAACCTGGATATTATTGTGATTGATAGTTCAGATTGATATGTTGACAAGTCTTTAGGTGATACTCAGCGTGCCTCCGGGCCAGTTAGTGATTATATAATACTCGGGGATCTTCTCAGTTTCGCTCAGCGATCAAAAGGTGGCAAGGGGTGACCACTAAAGCGGAAAGGAAAAGCCATGAAGCGCGGTCTGGAATCCGGTGTATATGCTATTCTTACGAGCTTTAATGGTCTAAACGTAATTCTCGTAATTGATCCAGCAAATATCAATGTAGTAAGTAAGTCATAGCTTTTTTTCCCGCCTAAATTGTCGATGACAGGTGACAGGCATATTCGCCACGCCCCTAGACTACATGCAGACTATTGGGAGTGTCTGGCTCAACCACACGAGCCATGAACACCCGTGATTCTGCATACCATGGTCTAACGGAAGTCCAGAAATTCGAAAGAGATAATGATAGGCATTCTGGGGGCAGTGTCTGTGCTGGTCGTATAGCAGTGACATCATGAGCATCTAAATGGACAGATGAACACTTGACGACACAATATAAAATACGAGTCCTCCCTCAAGAAGAGAAATCATACATCCCAAATCAAATTAATATATGACTATACTGTCTGATCAGTATGTGTGGCTCTACTCTTTCAAGTGGAAGGAGCGATCAAATACACACACACAGACTAACAAATGATATAGACAGCCATGAAACTTTCTCTACTCTCTACTTCTTTCCTTGCTCTCCTTGCGAGCACCACCTCAGCTTGGGAACTCCGAGCAAACAATCAAGTATACACCGGAACTACACCTCAAGGTTGCAAGCCCATTTTCATTCCCCGAGGCTCTAGAATCAGCTGGACTGGATCCAATGGCGCCCGAACACTCCAATTGTTCAATGTGCAAGGAAAGTGTAACCAAGTCTATCGAACTGTGATGGGCGTTGGAGAGATCAACGCTTCGAATACTATTTATGGGTATATAGTAAAGCCCTGAAAACGGATCTTGTGCGCTTCAGAGGGGGATGCGGTGCATGCGTTTAGTTACTTCGCCGCTTCAATGATTTCTTGTTTCATCGTGTTACGAGGACAAAATAATCAATCGTATTGTTATGTAACCTTAATCTAGCCTTATCTATAAATTTCTTGCACATTCACAGCATGAATGTCGTCCGACTCCGCAGCGATTCTCCCTCCCGATATAACAGAATCGGCACAGGCGCAAATGCCAGTGCCAGGGATCCTAACAAGCGTATTACCCCAGCCGTAGTTGAGTGCCGAATACATGTGCGACCCGGCAAGCGGCAAGAAGGCCCCGAACATGGAGCGGAGGAGAATATTGGCCCCTAGGGCAGATGTCGCCGCTTGTGACCCGAACAGGTCCACCAGGAATAGCTGGGAGGGCATGATCGCGAAGAAGGCCCCAAACCCAACGATGAACGTCCCAAAGGTCGGAGCCAACCTCGCATGGCAATGGCAAACGGTTTGTTACAACTCCGATCCTGTACAGAATGTCACTCATTAGTCCGTAGTTGCCTTTATATACTAGTCCAACTAGTGCGTAACTAGCGCCCCATCGGGCTGTGTTATTTACGAACTAAGGAACAATGGGGCGGCGTTTGGTACATACAGCCTACCGTGGATGGGGAAATGATAAACAGATAGACCAACAGCCAAGGTTTTCCACTATAAAGCTACTATAAAGAATGATTTCAAAAGGGAAATCCACAAGATAGGTATTCATCTCATGGTACTTAGTCGAAGCCACGGGCAGCGCATGGCGGAGTATTCTCCCAAAGTATTGGATTGATCCATCACTTCGCCTTCGTCCTCGGCTGAAACGTGAGATGTTAATCACCAAGCTACTATCATATATGAGAGTGCTGACGAGAAACAAAGACTTGCTAAGTGTCTCATCAGAATCTGCATATTCAGATTGAATAGGATCGACCTCCTGCTCGTCTCCTACTGCACCGCGGGACATTCTAGACAGAGGACTCGGCTTCAACGGCGCGTATGACTACAAAGAATATGAGTAGGTACGGGAAGGAAAGTAAGAATTCTAAGTCCATTCTTAAGTCCATTATTAGATAGAGATAACATTGATATGCAAAGGATCCAAGCGTATCTTATACCACATGGCTATGTAGTTGTGACAGGTTATTAATCCTATAATCCTGTCATGCTTTATCCGCTATGATCGTAGAACTACGCAATTCATGTGGGTATTGGCTACTTGTAGGCCTTTTGTCGAGTGGCTGAGATTTATTGCAGAATATAGCTTTATCATGTTTTCATAAGGTGTCTGCAGCTTTTTGTGCAGTGAAGTAACCCGGAAAGCGTTTGTCGATACTAGTGAGACCATGGATAACGCAAGACTTCAAGTTTGTATAGTACCTAAGATAATCGCACTAAGAAATGATTTGTAGGCGTCTCCACTCCCCAAGTAAAAAATATCAAATCACATAGTTATTAATAAGACTGGAATTTGAATATTTCGGTGTTTAGGATGTAGAAAACCACTGCTTGCCTCAGGCATCAATATATCGCGCCCCGGAAAAACAGTTCATCCTGAAGCTTTAGAACCACCTTTACATTTCAAGTTCATTTTATATCCCTGATATAACACCCATCTTGCTTTTCAGAGCCTCATCAACTGGCAATTCTTTCATCGAACAATATGGCTATATAATGAATACCCCGCAACTCAAATGACGAGTTTGAGGGACCCGCCATAAATAAGTGTTTACGAACGCGATGAACATGCGCAAAACAATTACCCA